ACTGTCAAACTGATCAAATTGCTTTTTGCCACATCATTTTTATTTTTATTTATTATTTTTTTTTTTTTTGGAATTGTTCACCTTATTTTTCTACATAAATTTCAAATGTTAATGTCAGTTAATGACATGCAGTTTGTCATGTTCTCATGACATACAGTGACCGAAGAAAGTATTTACATACCTTGTCCTTTCTTTATATAATGAATTTAAATAATAATGAAATAGTTTCATGTTCCTTAATTAAAACTTGTTAAAAAACAGTATAAATTCAATTAAAAATATTTATAATGATAAAAATTTAATTAAACATAATATAAACACAAGGAAAAAAGTATTTGCACACTATGCTTGTTTACTTGCTTTTGTTTGTATGCTTGAGTATAATCCGGTTCTTTTCTATCAGTATTATTAAATATTTCAATCTATTAAGTTTGTCTTAATTTAACCAATCCTAATGCAAAAAGCAAGTGAACTACTCACGAAAAAGTTATATTATGTCGAAATCAAAGAAAATTGTATCGCGAAATAGCAGATATGTTAGGTATTAATTTTTCTACTGTCAGATAGGTAATTAAGATATTTGAAGAAAGAGGCACAACTGCAAATAACCGGCGCAAAGGACATCCAATGAAAGTTAATGAGAGGATGAAAATAAAAATCAAAATTGAAGAGTTAGTGCAGGTGCCCTAGCTAATATGGTCGAATGGACTTCTGGGGTCTGTGTGAGCATTACAACAATTACAAATAGATTGCAGAAAGACAATATGGCGAAGTAAAAGTGAAGAATTCAGGAAGCAAAACGTCTCAGTTATTATAAAACATGGAGGTGGGAGTGTAATGGTTTGGGAAAGCATGGCATATAATGGTGTAGGAAATTTCATGCCTATTGAAGTGATTTTAAATGCAGAAAGTTATGTCAAGATTTTGCGCCATAACCTGCTAGCGAGTGCATCCAAATTAGGAATTCAGGATCGGTATATTTTTATGCATGGTAATGATCCAAAACATGCAGCAAACAAAACTAAAGAGTGATTAATATTTAACATTCGCCAACAATTTCATATCCTTCCACAGTCTCCTGACTTAAACATAATTGAAAATTTGGGGAAGATTTTAGATAACAATGTTCGAAAACACCAATAACCGGAAGACACCACCTCAAGGATCTTTTACATCAAGAATGAGAACAAATTAACACGGATTTAATTAAAAACCTCGTCCACTTAAGGCTTAGACCTTTACAAGAGGCAATAGATGCCAACGGACTTCATACAAAATATTAAATTTTAAAAAATGATAATAAAACGCAAGGTGTGCAAATACTTTTTTTCTGTATTTTTTGTAAGTTTGATGTTTTGTTTTTTTATGAAAAAAGCTTTTCATTTGAATTCTATTTATAGTTATTAAGTTTTAAATATACTTTATTTTTGAAGTAATAGGGTCTTTTTATTGCACAAATTCATAATTTAACAAAAAAAAAAACATGGTGTGAAACACACATAGATAATACAAATTTAACATGAGTAAAATCGCAGAGCACATCTAGTAAGTAATAATTATGTTAATGAATATTAACCTAAACAAAAATTCAAAGTCAAAACACATACCTGGTAAATTTCCGGATCTCTAATTTTTCACTGTTTCCTTGCTTTCAGGTAGCTGAATAAAAACAAAAAAAGAAATCTTTTAAAATAAAGAACGGAAGGGTACATTTTAAAATAAAATATAGATTCTTGATGCTAGACTAGACAGTAAACATTCCCCTGATGATAGAACCCATGTTAGTACCGAAACGTCAGCAAGCCTAATAAAACATATCTAGATTGTAAAGCCTGAATATTTATCCGCCTCGTAATTTTGAAATAACAGTCAACAATATATCCATCTCTAAATTAAAATATAACACTATTTCGTGAAAATTCTTATTGGTAAACTCCACTTATAAATAACAGACACCACTTGACTTTTACACAGAAGAATCTTTACTAAATTTATGAGGAAACAGTTCTACATGTTTGTATGTATTAATGTAGTACCAAATATACTTTCTTTTTTTTTTTTTTTTTGGAATGTTAGTTAGGTGAGCAGTCAAAGAGGAAAAAAATGTTTCCTTTTTTTATTCATTAATTTCTTTTTTTAATTATTTTTTTAAATTTTTCTCTGTGACCCCAACCACAAACATATTTTCTACAGTCAACTATTTCTCTGCTATTATATATATTATTTTAAAATAACTCAATTTGGAAGTACTTTTGGTAGCAATGAATATATTAGAATCATTGATACCTACCTATCTTTGAAGTGAAATCCCACAAATATTTAAAATAAATTAAAACTACAATTTTATTCATTAATTTATAAAATAGTGAAGAGATTCAGAATCGCCAGTAGTTGGGTTGTTTAACATGAGATTTAAACTATTGTTTAACATTTAATATGAGAAAAATATCAAAAATCTTTTAAATTATTTTATAATTTAGCTTATACCTCCATAATGTGAAGTAAAATAAAAAAATAAATAACGTAATCAATATGTTTAATGCATCAATATAAGTTGTTTCCTTTTATTTTTTTATATAGTAATAATGAATAGAAAGTGTAATCAAGGAAATTTCACATGAAATATTTGAGATATAGATTTGAATCAAAAACAAAAAAGGTAATTAAAGATAATCACTAGTAAAACTATGGAGCTGAAACATCCTTCAGATGTTCAAAAGAAAATGAAAGAAAATAAAATAATTTTGGATGGTGGATAAATTGTCAACTGCTGAAAGAAATTATTGAAGAGAAGTTGGTTAGAGATCATACACAGTCAATGGAAGTTCACCAAAAATAATTTTTAAAATTAAAATTAAATTATTTGCTGAATGACTCAACATCGTATCAAAATAAGTATTTCATAGTAGTAGTAGTAAAAATACTCTACTTAAATGTAAATATGAAAATATAAAATGAAACTTCATTGATAATAATCCAGGTCGCACTTCTAATATCCATGACTTTTATTTTCTATTCTGATCACATTAATTCTAAAAAGGTAATAATAATAAATTTTAAAATGAACACAAACTAAGCAGAAAATAGCAGATATTATAGAATTAAACGGTCTATTTAAGTTTTACATAATTCCTCAGCGATAGAGACAAGAGTAAATATGATATATAGATGATAAAGTGGAAATAGGAGATCAGAAAGCATAAATGTGATTCTGAGTGAGTTTAGTCTAGATTAGGGAGGGGCGCACAAGAGCTAAGATTTTAAAAAGAAAATAAGATAAAATCTATTCAAAGATTTTTATTTTCGATTTCAGAGCCCGTTTTCAAAACTTTTATTAAAAATAAATTATTTTTGACAAAGAACATCCAAAGTTTTCTAGGATTTTAATTATAAGAAATAATTTTTAAATTAAAGATTTTTTTTATGTTTACATTTGCTTTTCAACTACTCTAATTTATAAAAAATATATAAATTGTCAGTTTATGGCAAAAAGCAACTAAGTACACATTTTTTAGGGAGCTGAACTTCTATGAATGTTTTATTAATTTTGACTTTATTCATAGATAAAAAAATATAAGTGTATTCAAATGATACAAATTCTTTTATAATCTTAGGATTTTTTTTTTTTATTTTAAAAGGAAAATTCATCAAAATGCTTAGTTTCTTGAGGTTGTTGAAATTTCACTTAATGAATTTTTGTAATAAACTGACAACTTACTAACTTATACTTTTAATTGTTTTAAATCCAAATATATTTAGATCGCTAAGATGAGTAAAACTTTAGTATATCTGCATTATAAAATTACACAGCAAGAATGATATTTTTGAGCAATATGGTAGTAATATTTTTTATCCCTTATATTAGTTCACAGTATTTGTCTCTATAATTACCTGAAAGATAAAATTAAAATTTTAAACTGATATACCTTATTTGATAATGATGAATTTTATGTATCAAATGATAATAAAATAAAATGAAACAAATCTGTAACCCCATTACTACGTTTTTAAATTATTCTTCAGTACTACTGAAGTTAGAGTAATGAGTACCAACCTGCTAATTTTATGTGAATGAAATTAAAATGAAAAATATGAATTTGAAAATTTCCTGAAATAGTATTTATTAAAATTGATCATTTAATGTAGTTTTAAGTTTTATTGAATAAGAATTAACTCTGGAATATTTATTTTTAGTTTTATATAACGTTAACGGTGGTGGGGGAGGGATAGAAATAAGAATAGTTCTAAATTATCTTAATAAAATATTTATTTATTTAAACTTGTCTATTGTGTTTGATTTCCATATAACTTAGTGAATAAATTATAAAAAATAAGAGTAATAGCATTTAAACGAAATTTTAAAAAACTGCACCCCACAAGAAATAAGGCATGTTCCTAAACTCAGCGACATCTCATTCAAGAATTCTGATGCTCATCAATGATATCAGCGCAGAGTTTAGAAACTTCTTCATTGTTACACACATGAGCTTAGGAACGGTTTGATGGATTTCCGGTGCCCATCATTAATCACGGTAATTTTAGTTGTGGATCATATTCTTAATGTGCGTCTATGAAAAACACAATTATCTAACTTAACAGCAAAATTATTGCTAAACCAAACAATTCATTTTATTTCTTTTGACACTGACAACAGATGGAAAATATAACAAGAAAGAAACAGAAATACTAGCATATTGAAATAACCATTTATATATTTGTTTGCACCATAGTTAGTGAAATGTCTGAACGCATCTTTAACTACTGCATTGAGAGAGACAAAGCTCTAGAAGCTACGCCTATGACATGCATAATAAAATATTACATTTATAAATCTTACTCTGTTTTTTCAAAAATAAAAACTAATTGTTTCTTTAGGATACAGAGACACCAATTCTTTAAATTAGTTTAAGTCAATGCTATAATCAACCGTCAGACGAGTGTGACGATTGTTTTGGTCATTCTCCTCTTTCTTTCTCTTTGGATAGTAGTAAAGGAGGTTACAAATAAGTAACGGTTACTATTCTGAAGTAAACAATAATAAAGTTTATCCTGGCGGGCATTGTTTATTTGGAAAAATAGGATAATGTAATGGCTCTCAAGAAAAAGGTTAAAACTGTTTACATTACTTTGTGTTAGTCTTAAAGTAATGCATACACATCTGCCTATTGATGATTTTTCAGGAAACAATCTCTTTGATTGTGAAAATGTAGATTAAGTTATTTTTTTTTTGAAGTCATGATTTTAAGATGTCTTGCTACTATATTGGTTAAAACCTTGTTGAATTTTTTTAGGATACTAATTCTTCTTCCGACTCTTCAAGCAGCAATAGTTCTTCTTCATCATCTACTTCTTCCTCAACATCTGGATCTGAATCGAGTAGTTCTGATTCAGAAAATACATCTACTAGCGGAGGAAAGAGTGCTAACCCATCGTCAGATTCTGATAAGAAAACTCAACAGAAAAAGAAAAATTCTACTACAGTTACTCCAAAATCCAAAACTGACAGCATAGATGGAGATAAAAGCAAAGAAAAACAGAAAAAACCTCAGCCACCCAAATCAACTGTTTATTCATCAGATACTGATGATTCATCTCCGAAACCCAATGCTAAACGAAAACCACAACCTAAACCCAAGTCTTCTGCTACTGTGACTCCTGTACCAAAAACTCCTAAAACTTCATTAAAAAATGGCCCTAAAAAACTTAATCCACCAAGAAAAGTGGCCCAGAAAAATGTTACACCAAAAGATTCTGTCAAAACTTCTAGCAATAAGTTGGATGATTCGAAAAAATCAAAGACGAAAAGTATTTTTAGTCCTGATAATAGTAGTGATAGTGATGATCAAAATTCTTCGCCCCCTCCACCCAAACTAACTGCGATGAAAACTGCAGCTACTAAAGTACATAACAGATTGAAATCAAAGCCCAAACCACTAATGGCAATAAAACCAAGAACAAGTTCTGTTTCCTCAAATTCATCTGAATCATCTAGGTCTTCAAGTAAGATTTGTCTGTTTATAACTTGGTATTTATGTTTGGTGGTGCACCTTAACAATTAGTTGTATTGTTGGAAGTGTGTGTGTAAATTATTCATTTTAATCTAACAAATAACATTGACTATTTGCTAATCTTCATTTAAATTTTATCTCACTGTAAAAATTAAAACTAGTTTGTTGTGCCGAGACTAGAGGTTCCCGCGGGTGAGAAGCCTAAATAAGTAATGTTTAATATATTGGAATTAATTATGGTTTACCACAAGTTATCTCTCCTAATAATCCAATTGTAACAACCCCTGTTCTATTTTATAATTTTCTTATTCATCCTGAAATTTAGAGGATTTTAGCATGGTTTTTCTTATCTCGAGTATCATAAAATATTACTATTAGGTATTTCACATTATTTTAATTAAGAGTTACAGATTTTTTTAAATTCAATCAAAGGAAGAAGTAAACCCTTCAGTTTATTCGAAACTAGTTGTATTATTTTATTTTTTAAATTGTTAAAAGGGAACCCCTGATCTAAATAATATCAACGATTCCTGATCACGTTTTACTTTAATACTGAAAAAGTTTTAATTTCTAATTTTACTTAACTAAAATATAGTGTAATGTATGTGCATGTAGCTACTTAAATTAATAATACTTTAATATGATTAATAAAGAATTAGTATTAATGGTGTGGAAGACATATTGCTATATGTTTTAAGATTTTGATTTTCATTATGGCCAATCTTTGTAGTTAATTTTTCTCTTCTAAAAGTTTGAAGGAAATAAATATGGTAAAATGATTTTATAAATAATTTTTTTTTCTTGCAAAGGAACTAAACGCAATTTTATTCTTAAATTTTTTTTAATTGAATTGAATTTAAATGATTTGAAAGTTTTCACTTTATACACTGAGTTAAAATAGAAACTAGAATAACTTGTTCATTTTTTAAGGAATTAGAAAAGTTTTCTTTTGCTTCACTCTGTATAATTCCACAAGTTTTTAAATTTTACATGTTAAAAAAACATTATGAAATAGATAAATTGATATTACTTATCGATTAAAATTGAAAAGAACAATATCTGAATTGATTTTCTTGGTTGGGAATGAACATGTTTGCTGTACGTATTATTAAATAACACTAATAATATAATTACTTATATTAATATAATTAATTGATTAATATAAATAAATCAAATTAATAATAAAATATTTATATTTTTAAGGGAGTAGCTCTGATTCTAATCATGATTCTGGAAGATCCAAGCAGGGATCTGCTAAGAAAAAGACACCTTCAAAAAGAGATAAGAAGTCGCCACCTCCTCCACAACTTGTTTCTGATGCCGATAGTGTTACAACTAGAAAGCAAACGCGTTCATTGAGTAATAGAAAAAGTAAACATGTAATGTCCAGAATGCCAAGTGAATCAGATTCTGATACGGGTAATAATTTTTTTTTTTCTCTAAGCACTACAAGGCAATGAAAGTATTGAAATCGGGTAAAGCTTGGAATGTGCAGTTTTTAAAATATCTGTGCTTTTCTGACCATAAAACTTATTTTCAGTCATTGGTCTGTGCATATCTAAATATAAAATTGAATGTTTGAATCTTTAATATTACATAAGTATTAATCCCATTGAAATAGTCATGACAGGACTTAAATTCTGAATATTTAAAATTTCTTCCCTTTTAGTACTTTTAGTTCTGTTTGTTAGAAATTATTAAAAGTCTCATAGTTAGTAGTATTAATTGGGTTAACATGAGCTACGGATGAAAGAGTTTGATAATTAATTAGAGAGAAAAGAAAATGGGAGAAATATTTTTACAGATTGGAAATGTCTGGAGATAAGAATATATATATATATGAAAAACTTTTGAAAGCTAAATTTTTAGAAAAACAAATATCTAACATATAAGCTCCTAGAAGTTAATGGAGAGTGATGAAAATGGAAAGCTAATGAATTTTAATTTAATAATGCCTACGTTTATATTATTAAATGGAAAATAAATATTTATATGGAATTTCCATAGAAAATGTATGGAAAACTATTTAATAAGTCAAAAATATTGTGCACAGTATTGTCATTGCTTATATTAATTGTCTTTAGTTAGTATTGATAACTAAAGTAATTTTTTTCTTGGAGTTTATTAAATTTTAAAGAAAATAATTTCTATTGAAAGTACGATATTAAAATAACAAGTAGTATAACCTTCTTCGTTGAAACAAAAGTTTCATTATTTCATTACTAACTTAATTTTTACTTTTGCTATATCTCATTCATGTTTTCTCAAATTAGTAAAATCTGATTTTTTTTTCTGTTTTTCCTATAACTTTTATTTACTTAAAATCTTTTTAAAATAAAATTTCTGTTGATTCCACTAACAAATTTAAAATAAGAGTAATACTTATAAAAAGATGTGTTCTGTTTATAATATAATATTTAAAATGACAACTTGATTATTTTTATTTTAATTAGGTAGTAAGACAAGCATCACTAAATCGCCTGTTAAAAGACCTCCAAAAGAATCATTTATGCAGAGAAAAATAAAATCGGATGGCGAGGAGGAACGAAAGTGTCCGATGGAAGGGTGCGATTCAAATGGACATCTTGGTGGAAAGATATTACGGCATTTTACCCTCGAAGCTTGTCCACTTTATCATAATCTCACTCCACATCTCTGTAAGGTAATACATGTTAATTCTTTTAAATGAATTTATTTATTGAGGACTTTGTTGTGAGTATGCCTTTATTTTTTACTCTTTTTTTATTATTATTTATAGATTGAATAATTATGTTATATTTTAACAAAATCTCGCATGCCTCTACATGCAAAAGTCCTACTGCATCCCTGATAATTAGTCATAAATATTCTGTATAGATACGGAGTAGTTATCTATATTTATAAAAACGTAAATGTTCGTTTGTTCAAAACCACTAATTTCTCGAAATTGCTTCTTCAATTGCTTTGAAATATTGACATAATGTTTCGATCACATTCAGGTGTGTTTTTACATACATTTAATCACCCTTCAGTCTTTCGTTTCAGAAAGACGGCCCTGAAACCTGTATTGCTATAAACTATAGCGCCTAAACAGCTGTAACAATTTTAATTAAACTTGGCTAAAGTCTTCTCCTTGAAACCCTTTTAATTTATGTATATAACATCCTTTCCCGAAAAGAGTATGAAAAAAAAGTTACGATGGGTTCAAAACTATATTTGCGAATAACTCAAAAAGTACAAAATCTTTGTTTGATTATACCCATCATTATTTGAAAGCTTCCTTTATTCTCTGCAAATAAAAAAAAAAAAAAAAACACTAAAATCGGATGATTTGGTGCAGAGATATAATGCTTTAAACATTTAGTAATTTTTCTTCAGAGATTTAGAGACCAATTGCTTCTTATTTAGACAAATTTATGTTGCGAATTCTAGAGTTGGAAAACCATACAATCTCTATATTTATACAAAGAATGGAGCAACAAAGAATATCGCATATTCATAAGTATTGTTACATAAAAAGTATTAGAAACATCTGATTTCTTTTCTATCTCTTTTTTTTATTTAACCAGAATGAGCCACAGCAACATGTGGCTGGTACAACTTATGAATAAATAAATTATAACATTGGATACTTTGGATTATAGGGCCACAGAACTTAAACCCTTTTTGTTTTCTCTCAGTACATATTGTTTATTTGGACTGTTCAGTATGCTCGGTAATTAACAACTCAACACAGTTGAGCAGCTGTACAGTTTTATTGTTGTTCTCTCTCTAATAATATTGTTAAATTTATTTACAGGAGGCATACATGGACCGTCTGAAGAAAGACGAGGAACGTAAAAAAGCTATCGCTATAGTAAAAGCTGGTAGAGCTGGTTCTCCAACCCCTGAACAGAAATTGTATCGAGATAAAGTAAAAGAATTGCGCGGTAAAACTGGAAGCAACAACGAAATAAAATTAGAAGAGGAAGGAGAGGGAGGGAAAGATAGACAACCACCTATTGCAAAATATTCCAATAAATATGATATGAGGTTGTTTCAAGAAGCACAAGCTGTTGCCAGTGAAGCAATCGTAAGTATTCTGGGATTTATTTGTTATATTCTTAGTAAATAATAATAATAATTTCTAAATTGATTTTTCAAGATACAGAGAAAATTCAATCTAATGCATGTCATACAATAAAGAAAATATTAAAAAACTACCCTTGGGAGTTCTATTGCGAATACATTTCTAAAGAAATAAGTTGCTATGAACACGAATCAGAAAATGAAAATTTGACAAATTATCAAACAAAAAACATATGTTTTCCACCTTTTTTTTTTGTTTAGCAAAATACTTGAGATAACAATGCGTCTGTGATGTGCCACACACTGTGTCTGTGACTACATTATAGGATGACATGTATGACTGCCAAATGCAATACTTTTAAACCTCTCTTAGCCCTATTTTATAAACATGCATTTAAAAAAGTTAATCAAATACATTATAAACTAAATTATTCTATTCAGGAACGAAAGGGTGAGTGAAAAAAATAGAAAGATATTTTCCCTCACCCTAACGTCTGCCAAGAACGGCCACGGAACGGCCTTCCTCATCATTTTCATTGACTCCACACTTACCTATATCTCAAGATCTACTACTCCTAATACTGCTTTTACTAATTCTCAACTTTCTTCCAGCTTTGAGCCAAGTTGAACGAGCTGTTTTTCAAATATGTAAGAAAATACATTTGCGCGTGCGCAACCGGAACTGCTGCACAGAATTTAATAAAATCGATACAGCTTCATTATTTTACCAATACCTACATCTCTGTTAACGTTGAGCCAAATCAAACTAGCTGTTTCCAAAATATTGGTAAACCTAAGAAAATATATTTTCGCTTGCACTACAATAAGTACTGTACGTAATTCAATAAAATGGATATATCATCATTATTTTACCAATTCCCATCTTTCTTTCAACTTTGAACCCCATTGATTCAGCCGTTTCTGAAATATTGGCATATCTAAGAAGATTCATTTGCACGTGCGAAACCTGAATATGGAATTTAATGAAATTGATATGGGACCATCTAGGCAGCAACCTGCACAATCTCATAATTTTATTACTCTCACATCAATTTGACTACAGACAGACAGACAACAAACCAAATTTGATCCTTAATCTCTGAAAAACAAAACGAGAGTGGAAATTTGTGATTCTGAGCACAAAATTTTTTTTTACCTTCCTACAAGAATACAAAGCTTCCCTACCTTCGGTAGTGAGGAAGCCAAAATAGAAAGCTATTTCTTTTATGGAAGTTTTGAAGCTGTAAACACTATTCAAAGCTGAAAAATGTAAGATAGTCAAAGGTATGTGTTAAGTTTTGGTAGCCCGTAGCTGTGTCTCTGCTCTCGTGATGTTACTCAGTCTCCACCTCTTTTCTTAGTAGTTATTTTTGCAAATATGTATCAGAAAAATTTATGATTTTTTGTGTTTTTGTTTTAATAACCTAATTTTTACCAACAAATAAAAATTGTAAATTCATGCAAGTACCCCATTGATGAAGAAATGGCTGATTCACCTTCAAATTGTTTTGAAATTTTTAATGGCAGGGCTTGTGGAAATCAAGGTTTCGCAACAGTCATAACAAATCATAACCATTGTCGAGCTTACCCCTGACAAAATTTCATTGGACAATGCGGACATCCAGACAAACAATTTTTTAAAAGTGGATTTGGTGTCTGTAATGTATAAACGGAAAGATATCATGAAACGGGTTGGTTCTATTCAATGTACAGAAAAAATCTTTATTTTATTTATATAGATGTTCTTTAACTTAAAAACATATGTTTATTATAAGCATTTATTATCAACATTAACCAAGATCTCTACACAAATTACTCCAGAATTCATAACTTTGGTTATACTCAATATTTTGTTTTTATTTAAAGCCTATTTTTTAAGTCAAGCAAACCTTAATATAATGTCAAAATTTCAAAAGTCTGCAATAAGCCACTGCTGAGCTTACCCCTGACAAAATTTCGTTTACAATGCGGACATACAGATAGACAAAAAAATGGATACCAAATACCAAAGTGAATTTGGTATCTGCTATGTATGAAACAGAAAGATATCATAAAACGGTTTGATTCTATTCTATGTACAGACAAAAATTTTATTTTATTTCTATAGATTATATTTCATCTTTAATTATTTCAGGAGGATGAGTTAAAACTTTTGGCTAACGTGAGATATACGAAACTCATTGAAATGGGTAAATTTGAAATGGAAGTATGGTACCAAAGTCCTTATCCCGAAGACTTTGCCCGTTTGCCAAAACTGTACATTTGTGAATATTGTCTCAGGTATCATTTATACTTTAAATCAAAATTTGTTATGTTTTAAATAACTGTTGTATCTAGTTGTTACATATATCACACATCCAGAATAAAATAGACTCAACTCAATTTCTATCATCCAAAACTGTAATAGTTAGATCCTTATCATCCTAAAAAATGGGCCATCCCTTTTACATCAGGCCAAGCTGGTAGCCCTAATAGCTGATGTATTATATATTTATATATATATATATATATATATATATATATATATATATATATATATATATATATATATATATATATATATATATATATATTTATATATATAAGCATAAATAAATATTTTCAAACAAAAGGAAGCTAAAGTAAAAATTATAGACAGTACAAAATATTATTTAAAACAATTAATTACCATATGTTTTTCATAGTCGTCTAATGTATTATATTTATTCTTTTATCACTAACTATTTCCTTTTATGGCTGGATATTTTGACTATAATAAATAATTAAGTGCCACGAAATATTTTTAGTCCAACAAGATTGGTACTGATGAAGAATGCCACTATATTTATTTATAATTCATTGTAGTTATTTTTATTTGTTTAAGCATTGATATACATATAAATTTTAATTTTTAAATAATTGTAATCTATACAATTAAATAATACCAATACTGACATTTATGAAAACCACATATTTATATGTATATATTATCAGAATCCGTATTATATTAAGCACATGTTACTTATTTAAGTCTAAACTTCAGCCAAGCTAGAGTGCGCTTGGATTTTTGTTCGGTCCCTCTATTACTACTATGATCTTTTATTTCCCCTTTAGTTAATTATAAAATTCTTATATATAATTTATTTAACCATTTGTTATACCAATTTTTAATGTGAAATAGTTAATTATTTAAACTAAAACCTAATTTATGTAGTTTAAAATATTTCTTTTTTATATTCAGGTACATGAAAGCTAGGAAATCAATGGAAAGGCATGCCGCGAAATGTGTTTGGAGACATCCTCCTGGGGAAGAAGTATATAGGTATTCTATCTTATATGTATTAAGAGTTTTTTCGAACTGTATATTGTGTATATCTGTCTAAGAATTTTATAAATAGTCAAACCTCCTATTGTCAAATATAACGATTCCATGAAAAAAAAAAAAATTGGTTCAAAGAAAAATTGGAATTTTTATTTTTATATTAACAAAAAAACAATTGTAGTTGCTTTTAGTTGTATTTTTTTTAATAATAATATTTATTAATAAAATTTTTTAAAAATGTTCCAAAAAAGTATAGATTTTTAATGTATGGAAGTTCCTTTTACAGATTTTTGACTTCATATATATAATAGTAAATTTATTATAGAAAAGAAAAGATCTCAGTTTGGGAAGTCGATGGAAAACGGTATAAAAGCTACTGCCAAAACCTTTGCCTTTTAGCGAAGTTCTTTCTAGACCATAAAACTCTTTATTATGATGTCGAGCCATTTTTATTCTACGTGATGACCATCGGAGATTCTGAAGGATGTCATACTGTTGGTTATTTTAGTAAGGTAAAAAAATGTCTTTGAACTTAAATGCATGAATTAATTTTAAAGGTTTGAGTTTTAATTTTAATTTTTCATTGTTTTCAGGAAAAGAATTCCTTTCTAAACTACAACGTTTCATGTATTTTGACATTGCCTCCCTACCAAAGGCAGGGTTATGGTAGACTCCTCATCGACTTCAGTTAGTATTATTTTATATAATAATAATTATTTTATATTGTAATGTTTGTGTTTTTATCTTCAAATTAAAGAAATATTTTTATGATTTGTTATTTTATCAAAGGAAATGTCAGGTTTTTGGTCTATTATTTTAGGCTATCTGTTGACGAGAGTAGAAGGAAAGATTGGATCACCTGAAAAGCCTCTTTCGGATCTTGGCCTAATTTCTTACCGTTCTTATTGGAAGGATGTACTTTTAGAATATCTTTGCAATTTGGAAGGAAAACAGATATCAATTAAAGGTAGGATTTTTTTTTTTAAATTGTGTATCTTTTTTTTTTGGACACATGTTATAGTGTGGTACTATTCAATATCATTTACTGATGTAATCGGATCATTATATGTAATCATCATTGTCGGATCAAATTTTGAATTGGAAGTTTTCAAAAAATCTTTACCCTTCACTGCCCAAACACATTTTGGATATTGGTCCACCTGTCTGTCTGTTATATGATTATTTCTTAAACTGTTGGACCTGTTTTATTGTTTTATTTTTGTGTGTGTAATTCATCCTCATCCCCGATGCCTGTGTCCCAAATCGGGAATACTATGCTCAATAACTGAAAAACGTATTTTCTATAGTATGCTATGTTAAAACAGATTTTAATGAAACTTGCCTAAAGTATTTTCCTTGAAACCTTATAAATTGTATGCATAGTACATCTGTGAGAAAAAGTTATAGAGAAACGAAAGTTTCTTTTGACCATAACACAAAATGTATATTCTTATGGTTCATGTGACAAACACCTGACAAATATCCCAAAAAAATTCATCAAAATTTTTCCAAATCACCCATATTTTTTTTTAATTTCAACAATTATTATTTACTTAGTACTTTTTTGGGAGGGAGAGATGGAAACCTCGCCCAATAAGAAACATAATGTTAAAGAACTGAATGTCAATGGGACAGGATGTTCAATGCTTGGTCCGACAGTATTTTTTTACCTAAATCTAAATATATAAAAATGAATGTATGTCTGTCTGTCCGTCTGTTTGTCCTTAGTGCATTACTGAACCATTCAACCGATCGCCATGAAACTTTGGGAAGTTGTTCCGTACACTCTTGGGAAGGTTTCTAGCATAGTACTTCTCTCTTACAATAATTTTATATGTGTAAAAAAAATAAAAATGTAAATTTTTTTCTGTTCAAGGCCGCAAAAAATGTGTCGCTATAAACTGTAGTGCCAAAACGGCTTTACCGATTTAAATTCTTTTTTTAAGGAAAAACAAAGTTCAGATTTGTATTTTTCACCTCGATAAACCCTCAATTATCAATTTTCACAGGAATCGAAAAATAATTTTTTTTTGTCTCAAATTTTCGACAAAGGTGGGTTTTGACTGATAATACCTATATTTATATGAATTGCTTACAAAATAAAAAAAAATCATCGAACTCGGTCAGTTCGTTACAGAGTTATTGAGTTTTAAACATTTACTGCTTTCTCTTCAGAAAAGGCTGTTTCCTTTTGCTTCCTCACTACCAAACATCGGCAAGCATTTTTTAAAAATATTTTTATTGAGTAATCGAAAATTTTATAATTACTACAGTAATTGAAATTATCATTTGAAGAATTTATATGATTCTCCTTATGTAAGTCAATACTATTATACGTTTTTTTAAATTCATTTTTTAATTTTTAATTTAATTTTAGTTTTATAAGTTCAACTCAGACTGTTTCTGATGATTATGAATGACGGCCTATTTACTCAGATGATTATGAATGTTCAATTTGAATCATGAGAAAAAAAACAATTAGAATTAGTTTCAATTGAAGCCATTTTACAGACAAATTTGTTTCCCAACTTTTTAAAAATGACAGATGTCCTTTGCTACTAATCTACTCATATGTGCTTTCTATTTTCTTTCTTTTTCATTTTGCCAGGCTAAGCCACAGCAGCGCGTGGCCCGGTAAAGCTAGTTATCAATAAAGAATAAATTAAATTATCCATTATTTATTTTTTGTAATATCAATAAAGAGTAGTTTATTGGTAGTAGTGGGCATACAAGAATCCCAAAGTATTGATCCATCGCAGCTGAACATTCCATATGGCAGCTATGTCGGGTAGGGGGATAAAAAATAAAAATGAAAAAAAAGTAATTTTTTACCTTTTATTGTATATCACCTGTTTATATTTTGTCAAATTAGTTCGATAGTACTCTTCCTTTCTCTTTATTAATGTTTTATGTATTTAAATATTTCTATTTATTTTATAATAGTAAGTAGTAATCATTTTATGTTTTACTATTTATGTAAATTATTGTCTGTAGCTCTATTTGTCTTTCTTCGTTTCTCTATTCGTCTCGGGTATTAGAGGACAGCTCTGATGAAAACCTGTTGTAAACAAAACATAGGCAACCAATAAATATAGTTCCCACATATTATGACTTTTGATCATAATCCTATTCTTCCCTCCCCTCCAATAGTTTAAGAAATAAATAAATAGTTTAAGAAATTAGTTGGTTTTCTTAAACTACATATTTTATTTTCTGATATATTTATTATGTTTGCAAAGCACCAGAAAGCAATCAGGATCATGACTTTTCTTTCTCCATATATTTTCAGAATTATAGCAATAAAAGTATTTTATCTTTCAGATATAAGCCAGGAAATGGCTATTAATTCTTACGATATTGTCAGCACTCTTCAAGCTCTTGGAATGATGAAATATTGGAAAGGGAAACATATTATTTTGAAAAAACAGGTAAGCATACGGGATATGTTATGTATTTAAATTGAATACTTATTACAATATCCATTCAATTTATTTTTGTATTACTTTAGATTTTGTTGATAAACTACTTGTTTCAGTTGTAATCTCCGTGTTAAATCAATCTGAAGTGAATATTTGTTTTTAGGTGTCATAATATTGTGCTGCATGTGTACCTAAGTAGTTTTAGAAGTATTGCATTGTTTTCTTTCTCTTCTTCATTCTTCATAATATTACAGCTATGAAATTTTGGCTATTAGTTCTTCCGTTAAAAGATCTATTGAAAAACATTTAGTTTTTGGAATTTCCGAATCTTTAGTCTTTGTGTAATGCTCTTACCACTTGAAATATAACTCTTGTTCAACAATCTTTCCATAGTTTTATTAATGGCTTCTCTCATTGCATTTTCAAATTTATAAGCAGAAAATATCTTTATCTTACACAGCATCTGATTTCAACATGAACGCTTCAAAAAGCTGCCCAACTATTTAATATTTTTTCATTGAGATGTCTTGTTGTGAATATGAGATCCTGAGAACTTCTTATTGGGTGAAATCAGTATTGCTGTTCTAATATGTTTGAATACACTTTAAAAAATATACTAAAGAGAGAAATTTATGAATAGTTTCAATATATCCTATTATCACTTACCAGTTTCTGGTCATCTGATTGCATGCTAACTAGTGTTATAAATAGATAAATATGTGGCAGTTTAAAAAAACAAAAAGAAATAAAATCCCAAGTGTAGCCACCTGTATTCGCACCAAAATTATTTTAAAACATACCCTAACATATCTAACTTACAGGAAAATTTGATAAGGAACCATAAAAATCTTTATTGACAGAGCTACCTAACTATCCCTAGAGACTGGATTTTCGTGCAGTAAAAAACCGAAAAATGTGCAATATAAAACTCAAAATGTGCAAAATCGTTTTGGTTTAATTTATAATATTAATGCTTGTTTACTCTTATGTTCTGAGTTATAGCCTCTGAATTGAAGTTAGGTATTACGTGTAGCAATGTGAGAAAAATCTTAGTCTAAATTAAAATAAATGACGATTAATCTAAATCAATATTAAAGGAAATCTGGTTACAAAAAATAATATTTAAAAAAAAAATCACGTATTTTTAAATTAAAGCTTGATTTTACCACTGGATAAATTTAAATTTTTAAAAAAGTGGATTTTGAGTTAAGCTCCTTTGCTTTTATTAAAATCCATAGTATTGGTGTTAACCGGCTGCGTTTTGTCAAAGAACATTTAGCCAAGCGGTAATAAAATGTTTGTTTACAAATAATTTTAAACTTGTTTAGTTGAAACTGGAAAATAAATATACACATGTTTTGGAACCGCCAATAACAGAACTACAAGGTAAGGGGCTTTTTAAGTGACTATATCAATTTGCATTAAATTAAATAATTAAATGTTTTGCTCTCAATTATACTATTATTTATAAAATAAAATGTGTGTACTTGAACAGTAATTTTGCTATCTATATAAAACCATTTTTTTTTTTCGGTTGGCGCTACTGACCATGAAGATCTTTGACCGCGAGTGTGGTTCCCTAGACCACATCCCGATTCCCGATTTAAAGTACGGGGTAGGATCATCAATCATATGTCCGGTATATCAAACAATACGAGTCTAAAATATCTTTCGATCCCTGAAAGATAACTTGAAAATATTATTTTGAATAAAAAATTTGAGAACAAAAATTAAAAAACTATTTCCAGCTTTATGCTGTCCATGGATTGGACACCCCTGTTCTCAACTACAAACCTAATATAATATATGATAAATTTAAATAAATATTTATATAAATACTTATGTACATGTTATAAAATAAATTTGGTTCAAGTATTTTACTTTATACTGTAAAAATTGAAATTTATCCCTTAAATTGTAAAATATTCAATATCATGCAACGAAAACCAAAAACATGCAATTAAGCCCAAAATTGGCAAAAATGTGCAGTTTTGTGCAAAATAATATTATTCTACACATCGTGAAACGGATAGATTGTTGGTTTGATGTTTTTACACCAATGCGATCAAAATGTGCAATAACATGAAAATCCGGTCTCTAACTATCACCAATCCTAACTTACATCTATCATTTACACCACAATGACAAACAGAAAAAAAAAAATAAGCCACAGAGATAAGATTATAATATATCTGACAAGTGAGACTTGTTCAATACCCGTTGACATCTACTTCCTCTTCTATAATATAAATGTATAAATGTTTTCTTCTTGTAATTGAAATCCTCTCACTATTCACTTTTTAGGACGTAATAGAAGAATACATAGAAAGGTCTAAGAGGAGAGGCGTCACTTATAAAGAAATCGACCCGAATTGTCTGAAGTGGACACCTTTCGTACCGCCTAGTACGCCTAACAGTAACGCATGAAATTTTGGTGAAGATAGATTTTTCATGGGTCTTCTAATTTTAGATTTGATAGACATTTATGAAGCAAATTATTTCATTATATTATTTTAATGAAATGTATAAAGTTATGGTTATTACTGAATCAGTCAGTGTGCCTTTGCAATATATCCGATCGAAGTGTAATATATTGTGTTATCACATGCTGCATACGACTGACAAGTTTTAAATTTTAAATAAATTGACAATTGTATTAATAATGTATCTGATAGTTCGAATTTCATTATATTCATCTAAAAGATGTGTTGATATGCGTTAGCAGTAAAAATGTGTGTTACACAGTGCTTTCTCATTTCTCTTTATCATGGGCTATCAGAATAATGCTAGTAAATTGAAACCGATCTTGAACTACATTTAAATTTATTTATTTATTTTGATATATAAAGGAATTATATATTTGGTGGTTTTCATAACCAATTTCTGACCAAGATATTTTTGAACAAACACAATTTTCCATCTTTTTTGTGTATTGTGTTGTAAGATGAACTCTCATCTCAATTAACTCTTTTGGAAGCAAATTCAAAATGGAAAAACTTCTGAATTGATATGATATTTGGTATCATTTATTCATTACAAAAATTGTGTAGGAAAAAATGATTATTTTTCTTCAAGAGAACGAAAATCAATAGAAATTATTGCTAATTTTTTTGGTGGGAAATTATTTCCATTGCCAATTATATAAATTGGCCAGTTTTTAGAAGTTATATTTGTTTCTCAAACGGTCTAAGCATGGTGCTTGCCATCCTTTGTAATTATTTTCAAATTAAATATTGTGGGTGATTTACTATACTACTAAATAATTTGTAAACTTAATGGTTTATAAAATTATGATCTTAACAGCACATTTTAGTAAACTGGGTATGATTGATTCAATTTTGGGTACTTTCAGTTATATCTATAGATTTTACAAAGGAAGAAAATAGTTTAAGACTCGTTTCCACGGTGACATTTTCTGTTGTGATAGAATTGTCAAGACAGAGACACAACAGCAGTACTCTTGTCACACACAGACAGAAAATGCTGGATATAGAATAGCTTATGTTTTAAAAAGATTTTTACAAATTTCAATAACTTATTTTATGTTAACTAAATTAAAGAAAGTTGGTTGTTGGATATAAAGTTTATAAAAAAAGTTTGATATAAAATATTAATAATAATAGAGCTGGTAGTTAGCATTATGTAATAGGTATCATTAACTATCAAGCAAAATCTGATGGTATGATATTACTACAGACACAGAAAATTGCTGTCATACTGAGAAACTATACTGTCATATAGTTCATCTGATAGAAATAACTGTCATCATGGAAACGACCCTTTATTTTATTTGTCAAAACTGTAACTAATCCCTTTGTGCTGATGCCGCAATATTTTTATTGTAAAGTAAAAACTATTAAAATTTTGCTCTTTTCTAATTTAAATAATATTTGTCTAATATTAGATAATAATTTAGCTGTAAGAATTTAGTAACTCTCATTTAGATTTTTGTTCTAGAAGTGTCAGCTGTTACAATAATATTATTGTCGATGACCAAAGATCTTTGTCTCAAAGATTTGTAAATTTTAAATGGATTTATGCCATTTTGACGCTCACGCTCATTTATAATTATTTATTTTAAATTAAATAAATCCAATAAATGCTCAACTTTTTTAAGCGTTACGTCTGCTTTTATTTGATTAGAAACGAAATTGTTAGTTGTTTTTAATTTTTTATTTGTTATTTTATTTTATTTTTATTGTTTATTGTTTATTGTTAAGTTGCAATTCTTATCTGGGATTGTGGTAATATATTTATTCATTTTTCTTTATTTAAAGACTTTTTATCACGCCCTCAAATTAACAAAAAATTAAAATTTAATTTTATCTGCAGTAATATATCTTTGTCTTAGATTTACTGAGAACCAAATTTCGGGCTTAAAAAAAATTATGGATTCTTATTTTTTCCTATTAAATTTTATGAGATAAACTATAAATAAATTTCATTATTTTACTCAAAATCACATTTATTTATTATTTAAGCCAGAGGTCTCCATACAACGGCCCGTGGGCCGTTTCCAGTCTGTGAAAGTTTCTTTATTTACATGGTAAAATTAAAAAAAAAACTGTTTAAAAATATGAAATTTAGCTAATTACTCACACAAAAGTTCACATTTATTGCTCGTTCGTTTTCTCTCTTGGTAAGCTCATTTCACAGCTGAAGAGTCATTTATAAAGCAAAATCTTTTTTTAACATAAGCCATGGCTAAATGGAGGTTTCAATGCAGCCTGCGGAACTTAGTCCAGTTCTCAATGTGTTCCGATGGCCAAAGAGTTTGGAGACCAATGATTTAAAAAATACTTGAAGGAAGTTAGTCGACTGTTCTACATATCATGGGTGATAAATATTCAGGATGCAGTCTTTTTAAAAAAAAATTTTTTATTTTTGCCAACCTTTCAATCCAAACATGTGGGTCATCTTCAGGGCTGAAAATGTTTTTTTTTTTTAAATTACAATCAGAGATATAATAATATACGACTGCTAATTATAAATAATAAACTATAGTGATTGATGGCACATGAATCTTAACTAATATTGTAATACACATATTAAAATAGTTATACAAACTAAAAATAAAAAATAATGTATATAATCCATTTATATAAATTTGTAATATTTTCTATTACTAACCGTGGTTTGAGCACTGAGGTTGTTCATGTACTGACACATGTTTGGTAGGTAAGTAAAAAGGTCAGGGGGGAGAGGGTTTCCCGCTTGTCCTTTTTCAGATAGCAAAAAGTAAGTAAACAAGGTTAGAGGGGAAGGGAGGGTAACATTTGTTGTTTGTAGAATATACATAATTTGCTGACAAATATTTCAGACGTGTACAATATTTGAGTTATTTCATATGGTTACAGAAATGTGACTATTGACTAGTATTAAAATGAACATAAGCAAAAGGTACCAATTAATATAAATACAGCTTAGTTTGATAGCAAGTATACAAGGGTTAGATGAATAATTTTTATAATAAAGACAATTTCAATGTATGCAGATGATACTTAGGACAACATATTATACAATATTTATCATAATATAAGTTTGTGTTATATTAAGGATTATATAGGCTATTGTTTCAGGAGGCGGAAAATATTTGAATATGTATTGCAGATCTTTTCTTTGTCTACTTTATGGTTTACCGGATTATTTTTTTCCAAATTAATGAATATAGATTCTGATAGTAGTCGTTTTTGGTGATTGGGAACTGTGGTGAGTATGGTTGGATTTTCGAAATCAAATGTATGGTTTAGGGTATGGCGTGTTCCGCTAGTTTTGAGGCAAACGGGTCTCCATGTGGAGATGCTATATTTGTGTTGATAGATTCGTTTTTTTAAAAACCTTTTGCTATCTGAAAAAGGACTAGTGGGAAATCTTCCCCCCCCCTCTCCTCCCCGTGACCTTTTTACTTACCTACCAAACATGTGTCAGTGCATGAACAACCTCAGTGCTCAAACCACGGTTAGTAATAGAAAATATTACAAATATAAATTATATAAATGGATTATATACATTATTTTTTATTTTTAGTTTGTATAACTATTTTAATATGTGTATTACAATTTAGTTAAGATTCATGTTCCATCAATCACTATAGTTTATTATTTATAATTAGCAGTCGTATACTATTATATCTCTGATTGTAATTTAAAAAAAACATTTTCAGCACTGAAGATGACCCACATGTTTGGATTGAAACGTTGGAAAAAATAAAAAAAAAAATTAAAAAAGACTGAATATTTATCACCCATGATTTAAAAAATAATATTTATAAAGGCAGATCAAAAAAAATTATATAATGTTATGTTTCTTTACTTGTTTCAAATACATTTACTACAATTCCAGATAACTTTTCATTGTGTATAAGAATTTTCATTATTTTTTAAACATATATCTACTTGTGAATATGTTAGTAAGTTGATGTACATAATACGCATTATTCAACTATAGGTTGTATTGTATCACATAATTTAAAATTTGTCGTCATAAGAAACAAAAGTAGAAAATAACTATAAAAATAAATTTTTTATGACATTGTGATAATTGTATATAAAATTGTTATATTTTTATTATACTTTTTTAATTTCAAACTATTATTTATTGAATTGTACCTTAATTTTTATGGTTTTATAAATAAAAGCTATTTTTTTTAATTTGGATTTATTCTTTTACAAACAATAACCTTTGACTAATATCAGAAATATGAATCTCTTTATGTTAAGAACATAAGCATGTTATGTGTTTGTGTTAGTTTATAACCCTTCTGCATTTTTCATTTTAATTACATCATTTGTCTTACATATGTTACTTTTTAACAAACCACAGTTTTCATTTCCTTAAACATTACCAAGCAATTATACTCTTATGGGTATTAATATATTTTTGATATGTTTAATAACAGTTCGCGCCTCTTGTCCCGGAACTTAAAAATTAGAATCTATAAAACAATTATCCTGCCTACAGTTCTTTATGGATGCGAAACTTGGCCGCTTACATTAAAGGATGAGCAGCGTCTTAAGGTTTTTGAAAATAAAGTATTGCGTAGAATATTCGGACCGAAGAAGGATGAGCTAACCGGAGAGTTCAGACGGTTACACAACGCCGTATTGCGTGAACTGTATCCGGGTAATATAATTGAGGTAATATCGTTGCAGCGAATCAAATGGGCTTGTAAAGTTGTTGGGCTTAGTAACGAGAGAATTCCTAAAAGATTAATATTTGCTGTGCCGAATGGTAAGCGTCCGAGGGGTAGACCGAAGCGAAGGTGGGAAGATTGCATTAAAGCCGATCTGAAGGGACTGGGTTTGGACGGCGAACGGTGGAGGGAGGTGTGTAATAAGCGATTGGTGGTTTCGGCATCGAACCTTCGGGTTCGCTAAGCCTTTTATTATTATTATTATTAATAATAACAGATACCAATTTTTAATTATTGAATGTATCAATCATAAGATGAATAAACAGAATCTAAAAATAATAGATATAATTTACAATGTTCACCATAATAAAGATAACAGTGGGTTAGTGTTGGAAGAGGAAACAGAAGAGAAGAAGTGGTAATGACAAGGATGAGAATTGGTCATTCTAACCTGACTCATGTCCATTTAATTACAAAAGTGATCCAACCATATTTTGGTACCCACCAGTCCCTGCTAACTATTATATATAGTCCATAATTGGATTTTAGTCTCTATGTAAGTGTGGTACTGAGGTTACATATTATTTCTACTGTGTACCTCTAACAACTACATCATCATGAATGGAAGGGGAAGGAGTCAGTAAAAACTCAATTTTTCAATTTTTTTAAATTCATTCCACTCCAG